TGGTGCTCAGGGAACCATATGGGATGCTGGGAATCGAACCCGGGTCAGTCGCGTGCAAGGCAAACGCCCTACCCACTGTGCTATTGCTCCAGCCACCCCCCCCACCCCCAACACAATATTTAGTATTCTTTCTGTCATTGGCACATGATTGTTTCTAGATCTCGGCTATTATAAATAATGCTGCAGTAAATACAGATATGCATATACCTTTTTGATTTAGTGTTTTTACTTTTCAAATAGATACTTTGGAGTGCAGATGCTAGATAACATTTGATTTTGAATTATTTGAGAATTCTCCATACTGTTGTCCCTAGAGGCCAAATCACTAACAACGAATAAGGGTTCCTTTATACGGACTCTCACCAGCACTTGTTGCTTTTGATCTTTTTTAATATGGGGAATTCTTATTGGGATGATATATGATATGATGATGATGACATGATATCTCATATGATATCATATGATGATATCTATGCATTGTTAATTTTTTTAAAAAACAGAGACACAGTGTCCTGGATGGAACTCAGTGGTTCATGGGTTCAAGTTGCTCACCAAACATATAGAGAGAGACAGAGAGATACAGGGAGACAGAGAGACAGAGAGAGAGAAGAGGGTGGAGGGAGAGAGGAGAGGGAGAGAGAGAGAGAGAGAGAGAGAGAGAGAGAGAGAGAGAGACTGATTTGCCCTGCTTGTCTGAGCCCAGGTCTATGTGCACACTGTCCCTCTGGAAATGGGTCCTCATGCCACTATGCCACACCTTCTGTGGGAAGTTAGTTGGGTTAAAGGTCCCATAAGCCAGGCAGGAGCCCCAGCCTTGATGCCATCTTGCGCTCCTTAATGTACTTTCTTCAGACTCACTATTTCTTAGCATCTTAGTATTTTGGCATCTCTTCCCAGGCACTCAGCTCTACCAATTTAATATTATTAGTCAGTTCTCTGAAGCAAAACTCCAATCCTTTGATCATTTTGGATTGGTTTTTGTCTGCTTTCATTCTAATTTGTTTCTGTACTTCTGGAACTGGGGTAGTCATCCATTAACATGGAAGGCATTACAATTTGTTACTGAAATGATTCTGCCTAAGGATTAAAAATGAATTTTATGAAATCATTATTTTTCCTGATAGAAATGCTGAAAGTCCTCTTGTTGAGAAAATATTAATTTAGTGCAGTCTGACTCAGTCTGTTTAAAATCCTAAGGAAGCAACAATTTGCTGGTGAAGAAATTATCTGTGGGCAGGCTAATAACTGATTAATTCGTGCACTAATCCAATATTTATTGAGCATCTACTATGTATAAGGTGTTATCAGACTGGAATAGAAAATAAATAAAACATTTGTTCTCTCCTCAAAAAAGTAGGAGCAGAGAGTTAACTCAAAAGGACTGAGTGCATGTTTTGTATGAAGGAAGTCTGGATTTGGTCTTGGGCAACACATGGTCTTCCATGTATTGCACAGAGCAACCCCTGAGCACCGAACCAGAAATGGACCCTGAACACCACTGGGTATAGCCCCCCAATAAACAAACAAACAAACAAACACGGTATGGTTGGTTAGTACAGAAGCAGAAAATTCCAATAAGGAGAAGTGAGCATTTGTGAAAAGTGCAGAGAACAGGAACAATTCCTTGCCTTGGCACTTTGGGGAAGGAGGTAGAGAGATGAACGTGGAGGGTGCTGTGCTCAGTCCTGTTCCCCTATCCTTGCAACTGAAAAAGTTTGAAGAGACTGGGCCTCTAATATGACCTTGGTGGTAATTTCACTTCAATTACTGCATACAAATAATTCATCTGTGTCAGGTAAAGAAGCTGCCAGGAATAACCAAATAAAGAGGAACAGCCTCACATTGCTGGCAAGAGACGAAGAGAGAAAGATACTCTAGAAAATATATCACATTTGCAAGGATTTCATGGAATTCAGAATCAAAGATCATTGAAAAGCACGAGACCCTTCACAGTCACTCACACACCGATTTTCTTTTGCACACTAGCCAGACTTTGCTCGGGCTTTCTGGAAGTTTCTGGAACTTTCTGGAAGTTTGTTCTCAGTTGCTGGCCTGAGATTTTGACTAAATCCCCTGCCCCTGAAAGAAAGACCTGGTCCTGACTAAATCCCTTGCCCCTGAAAGAAAGACCAGGAACTTGCTCCAGCACTCAACACACATAGGCACTCTGGTTGAGGATGAGGGATGTAACCGTCACCATCTACTTGAGCTAATACACCTGGCCCTGAGAGCAGGAGATGTAAATCATTAATTAGCATCTGTATTGGGCCTGACAAGCTAAATGTGATTCTCTTGGAGTGCCCCCTGAAATGTCTGTATAGAAGCCCCTGTGTGAGCGGTAATAAACGGATTGCTGATTGGCTACCAGCCTCCCCCCAACCATGGTTCTTTCTTGGTGGTGGTGGGAGTCTGCGGGTGCGAGGAGGGCCAGGGCAGAGGCTTCTCCCCTTTCCACTCCCTCTCCTATAGGGAGTAAGTCCGGAAACCGGGGGATCATATTCCAGTATGATCCAGTCCCGGAGTCAACTGGCCAGGACCCCAACAGAAGTTAAAGTGGTGTTTGATTAAACTGCCAATTCAGAATTAAAATGACTATTTTGCTCAATGCACAGCATAGCAGGCCTAAAATTAACCAAAAGAGTCAGTCTCTTTAATAGAAGGCCACTAGAAATAGCTGATTATAGACAGAAGAGTGAGGCTCAGACCAACCAGCTCTGTCACCTGGGGTAAGTTCCATCACCTCTCTATAGTTCTATCTCCAGGTCTGTAAAATAGGATAGTAATAGTTTTTATCTCACAGCGAAGGGCACTTTAAAAGAGTAGATGAGAAAGAGAGTCAAAGAGACAGAGAGATAGAGACAGAAAGAAGGAAAGTGCCTGCCATAGAGACAGGCTGGGCGGGAGAGGGGGAGGTGTGGTGCAGGGGCTGGGAGGGAAACTGGGGACCACTGGTGGTGGGAAATGTTCACTGGTGGAGGGATGGGTATTAGAATATGTATGACTGAAACCTGACTATGAACAGCTTCGTAGCTCCATCTCATGGTGACTCAATTAAAAAAAGTGCTAATACAAAGCTAAAAAAATAAAAATAGTAGACAGTCCATGTATTTGACGTCCGAGAGGGGTGGAGGAATCGAACTCGGGTCGGCCATGTTGGCCGCGTGTAAGGCGAACGCTCTACCCGCTGTGCTATCGCTCCGATAGTGTATTTGACCTAGAAGGGAGAAATTCGTAGGACAGCAGCACAACCCAATTCTAGGCGCACTTTTTAAACATAGTTGAAAAGATATTTACAATTCTAAAATGAACCATTTTTTTTTTCCAGTCTCTTTAAGAACATTCCATTTCCTTCTTTCCTGGGTCCTTTCTGCCAGGCTCTGTGAATATTCCCGCTGAGGTTCAACTTCCGTTCAATCTTCCCTATCTGCCTCTGTCAGTCTGGGGTCACGCGTGTCTTGGCAGTACCTGCGGCATTGTTACTGGTGAGATTTGCTCTCTTTGCCTCTTGCTGGGTGAACACTGTCTATGCATGGATTCCTATCCCCCTCAGAAGGAAAATGTCATTTTCATCCCCTAGATTATAGTCTAAGGAGTACATCAGAGATGTGATGGGCAAAAAGTCTAATGCAGGCTGGGTCTCATCTATAAATAGTGAAGTAGAAAGAGTACTGCATTACTGCACTGCACACCTTAACTGTCACTGCTAGATCGGTCCCCTTCCCAGGGCCTCAGTTTACACTCCTGTAAAATCCAGGTTGGCCAATAACTTCTAGATTCCTTAGCCAAATGAAGATGAAAAGCTTCATTTGCTGGCCCAAAAGAAGACGTTCAAATGGGCAGTTAATACCCTTTCTGGGGAATAATACTGGCAGCTTCAAGCTCCTTGATTTTATGGGGTCTGTTTGAGTGTGTGTTGCTTCATTCTGAAGTATGCCGAATTAATCTGGGAAATGATTTACAAGACTTGGCTTGTGTTGAGAGCATCTGGATGATTCATTGAAGCCCCCACCTCCAGGGAAAAACCGCCGGCAGACAGACTCATTTTAGTCCTTAAAATGAACTAAAACCTTACAGCTAACTGGTCCTAACCCCTCTACTTCCCACCATTTCCCCTCCTGTTATAATATGGCCAAAGTGTCATGGCAAGTAAGATAAAAGCATCTTAAGAAATTGAAGAATATAACATACCTCTAGGCACAACATGTAAAGATGCTTTTGGACAAGTGCCTAAGAGGTACGTAGAAGAGTGTTAATGATAGCACTGATTGTAATAGCAAGAAAAAGACACCCAAAATATCCACCCACAGGAAGAATAATGAATAAAGTGTGATGGAGTTACATGCTCCAAAGGAATGGACTGCAACGAAAACTGAGTGCGTCCACGCTACACATACTACCAACAGACAAAATGCCCTTCGATGTTTCAGAAGTTAAAGCCACCTGTGACCAGCTTCTTGAGGACTTTAGACACTTCCCTTTGGAGGACAGAAAGTATTGCAATAGAAATTTTCTGGGCATATCTGTGGGAGCAGTAGAATAGGATTATAGCAGAAACCCTGCGACAAATGGTAGAGTTCCTTTAGCTTATTCTGGGAAGACAATTTCTTGTGGCACAGAGTAATCCATTAAGAATCAGGTAGCCCTTTGCAATCTTAAAATTGCTACACTGCAATCCAGAAGTTGCATGGCCCGAGACAATATGAGTGTCAATTCCTAAAGTGCTTTAAACAGGTACAGACCTGTTTAAAGGTACTAAAACACAGATTGCTGAATCCCATTCCTGAAGTTTCTGAGTCAGCAGATTTGGGGTACGAGCTGGGAATTTGCTTTGCTAACAAGTTTCCTTTTATTGCTCCTCTCATTGTTCACATAGAGCAGTCAATCTACTAGGAATGCAGACGTTACTGGGAACTCAAGATTCCAAGGTGGTTAATCCGGAATGACCTTTCTAGGTGCTGATAAATGTTTTGTTTTTGTTCTGAAAGGGTCACCCAGCTCACCTGGTCCAAGTTTGGCCACAGCATAGAGAAGGTCATAGTTGAGAACTGGGGTGGCATCGCTGATGGGCTGCCAGCCAACAGGAGGAGATGCAGGGGGCGAGATGAGAAACTGTTTGGCAGGCTGTGGGGGAGCCAAATGCAGCTTGTCTCCATCTGTCTCTGGGGTCTGAACCTGTAAAACGGGACAGAAAAAGAAACATTATTCATTATGGTCTCAGCTGTGCCATAATGGTGTATTAAGCCAGAGTCTCACCTTTCGGGCCATACACATGGGGGATTCTCATGGCTCTGAGCTGGAGGTGGGGTGGGGGGTTGTCTCTTCTGCTGGTTCTTGAGGGAACTTTGTGATGCTAGAGATCAGGGGCAGTTGCACGCAAGACAAGTACCTTAAGCTATACTATCACTCTGCCCCCGGGTCTCATTTCTATCCTGTGACAAATGAACCAATGAACCAGACTATAATAATAATAATTACTCCTTTCCCCACCCTGTGTGCTCAATTATCTTATTTAATTCTTTAAATGTGAACTTCAGTCTTTAGCATACATCACAATTACCTGACAAGGTACTAAAACACAGATTGCTGAATCCCACTCCTGAAGTTTCTGAGTCAGCAGATTTGGGGTACGAGCTGGGAATTTGCTTTGCTAACAAGTTTCCAGGTGCTACTGGGGCTTACTCCACCCCCCTATCCCCCACCCACTGTGTCTCTGTCCCCAGCTCTCCCTCCCTGCCTTTCCTTTTCTCTATTTTCTCTGCGATAATCATATAACATGGCATTTACCATTTTAAAGTGCAATTCATTGCCAATACACTTACCACGACTCTCTAAATACAAAGTATCAAAAGGCCATAATCATTTCTGCCAGAAGTCAGACTTTGACAACAACTAACCTACTTTCTTTTTCTATGCTGTTACCTCCTACAGACATTTAATGCAAATGAAAACATAGAAAATATGACTTTTGAGATCTAACTTCTTTCATTTAGTGTCTTGTTTTCAAGGTTCATCTATGTTACAGTATATATCAGTACTTGGATTTTTTTTTTGGTGGCTGAATAATATTCCATTGGATAGATAAGCTATTTTACTCATCCAGCAATAGATATTTGGGTCCTTTCCATCTTTTGAAAGACCTGCTATCCCTATGTGTGTAGTTGGTTTTTTTTTTTGAGTCTGTGGTCAATTATTTTTAGATATCCAACTAGGAAAAGAATTACTGGTTCAAATGTTTAACTTCCAAAGGAAACCATGTGGGGTTCCCTAAGAGGTGAAGAAACGGAAGTTTGCATTTTTGTCACACAAGTCAACAACAGTGTGGGACTAAGTCTGTTCCTTGTTTACTTTGGGAGTAAGTCGGGTTAGGCCACAAGCAGCAGTGCTGGGGGCCACTCCTGGCTCTGTGCTGGCGAGGCCATGTGGTGCTCGTGATTGAAAGGCAAGCACTTTAACCCTTGAACTATTTTTCCAGCCACATTCCTTGAAGTGGTCTAGCAAAAGCCCCCTAAAAGAGATGCATAGTATACACCCCCATTTCAATGGCTTGGCAGATGGAAACTCTCCTTGCAAAGATAATCAACTGTGCCCAGAAGGCTCGGGAGGGCTACATTGCTCCACTCTGCCCCACAGCTCCTCGAACTGGCCTAGGCACCCCTGCCTTATCAATAGTGGGTGTCTAGCAAGGCATACATTCTATGCCTTTGCTACCCAAATTCCTAGAATTGACCACACTGTTCCCTTTGTGGGATCAGCTTATTCTGCGTACATTCTATTATCTCTCTGATTGACTTAGAACATTTCATAGCTGATTCATATTATTATTTGTATATCACTTAATGCAGTTGGCTTAGAATATTTTAAATGCAGTTTACTTTCTCCTCAAATTGGAGATATGTCTCCTGCTCACCCCCTTCCAGGACAAAAGGAAAGCAGAATCTTTCCACTTCTGAAGCAACACAGATGAAATGTGTCCCCTAATGATACTAGGTCTCTCTGTGAGGTCTCCACTGTATCTGACAAGTGGACTCTTTCAATAAACTGACTTTGCTCTGTCTAAACTATCTCTCTATTGGTCACTTTTTGTACCACTCCCCAGGTTGGACCCAGCAGGGTTTGAGCACTAATTACTAACTCTTTAATTTTATATTTATCTCAGCTTCTATCTTGTTTTATTTTTTGGCCACACCTGGCAGTGCTTAGGGTTTACTCCTAGTTCTGCACACAGGAATCAATCCTGGTGGTCTTGGAGGACCATGTGGGATGCTGGGATGGAACCCAGGTTGGTCACATGTAAGGAAAATGCCCTACCTGCTGTATTATCTTTCAGAACTCTCTATTTTATTTTATTTTGGTTAGAATATTTAACATGTTCAACTCCCAACAATTTTAAAGTGGGTAATATATTATTATTGACTATAGGTACAATGCTGTACTGCAGATCTCTAAAGCTGGCTTATCTTGCTTAATTAAAACTGTTTGATCATTTATTAGTTACTAATTTTCTCAATAGAGGAGGTTCCCCCTCTCTCTGAACTCTTAGCTCTTTCATGATATGGATCTGACTATTTTATATAATTCATATAAATCAAATCATGCAACCCTTATCTTCTTTACTGCTAATTTTTTTTTTTGCTTTTTGGGTCACACCCGGTGATGCTCAGGGGTTACTTCTGGCTCATGCACTCAGGAATTACTCCTGGCAGTGCTCGGGGGACCATATGGGATGCTGGGAATCGAACCCGGGTTGACCATGTTGGCTGCATGCAAGGCAAACGCCCTACCCGCTGTGCTATCGCTCCAGCCCCTTCACTACTAACTTCACTTATAATTAGGTCATTTTGCTCATTCATGTTTTCTAAATCATATAATAGGTCACTAAAAGTGACATATATACACATATATATGCATATGCATACATACAAACATATATACAGTGACATATATATATAAATTTTGAGGAGGGAGTAGTCAGACATTACCTTTGGGTAAAATAAAACACAAAATTTATTTTCTACAAGTTACTTTCCTACAAATTTTATCACGAACATGATTCAACTGAAAGGTATACAGTTTACAAAAACTATCCAATATTTTAAATTTTAATTCTACTCCTACCGGGAAGGTTAGGAATAGATGTGAAAGAGCATTTTTATTGCAATTAATAGCTGGCATTCACAGTGATTTTACCAAATACTTCAGAGGACCAGGGATGTGGCTCAAGTAGCAGAGCATGTACTTGTATGTAATGATACTCTAGACTCAAGTTCCAAATACATGCATGGCTAGCTTTGGAGCATTGCTGGGGATGGTCCTCATAGCATAAAACAAAATTAATCACCAAATCCTGGGCCTTTTAACACATAACAATTCATGTTATTATTATAACAATAATATGGGTTAATATTGAAGAGCCCGGCAAGCTACCGAGAGGATCTCACCTGCATGGCAAAGCCTGGCAAGCTACCTGTGACGTATTCGATATGCCAAACACAGTAATGACAAGTCTCACAATTTGTTGTGAGACATTACTGGTGCCCGCTCGAGCAAATCGATGAACAACGGGGTGACAGTGACAATGATCACCATCTCCATCTTTCAGATGAGGAAAGTACAGCCCACTGAGGTCACTGGACTTTCCCAGATTAGAGCTCAGGATCTTAACCCCCCACAATCTGTCCCTGGTCCTGATGCTCTGCTTCTCCTGTCTGGGAATTATTGTAAAGTTTGTTTCTCTGTGAACTAACTCTAGTCTACAACCCAACTGGAATGTAGAAAGGGGTCCATTTACATTTTAAAAAGACGATAAATAAATATAAGCAAAGGAATGAGTGTGGAATCACTTTACCTGTGCAAAGTAGAGTTTTAATTTTTTGCCTCTGAACTGAGTTTCATGAAGCTCTATCCTGGCTCGGGCTGCAGATTTGGGATTGCTGAAGTTAATTCGCACACGTCGGAAACTCTTAAATAGCTGGAACGTCACACAGTCATCGTAAGTCCGGAACAGTCCCTCAAACTTTTCCTGATGAAAACAAACAGAAGAAAAATCCATTGATCTTGAGAATGATACCAAATCTGACAAATCAAATAGCCAAGTAAACAAACTGATCATTCTTCATATAAAATAAAGTAGAACATTGCTCACATATAATTTTTTATCACTTTATCTTTGTATTTGTTAAACATGGTAACAAAATCAGTATCATATGGGTTCTGAAATATGTAGAAGACCAATAAATAGGCTTTGAAATATAAAAAAATTGAAAATATGCAAAATGTCGTAGGTTTGTATATTTATTATACACCCCACCACCTGGCCCCCTGGTGCCGTATAATCCCATCAATGGCCAAGACCCAGAGACTATAAAATCCAGCTCCCGGATGAGAACATTGCAGTCTTCTGCCCCCGTGCCTGGCTGTTCCTCGCCGGGGCCCCTTGGAGGGGAGCGGGTTGAGCTTTCCTCCCCGCCCCGACCAGGGCTCCGGCAGCCGAAGGCCTCCAGGACCAGCCACCACCATGCTGAGACCACTCTCCGCACACATGAAGGTACTGGCAGAGGGACAAAGCCACGCGGGTTCTGGGGCTGAGATCTCCAAGCCTACTCGGATTGGAGTCAAGCATCTTCCACCCAGATCCTCCAAATTCCAGTAGGCGGGGGTCACACCCACCACCTGGCCCCCTGGGACCATGTAATCCCATCAACGGCCAAGACTCAGAGACTATAAAATCCAGATCCCGGAACCGCGCGGCTGCATTTGCGGCAGTGCGATATCTTATCAGGACATCTTTTTATGACATCTTATTATCTCATTCCTACTTTGGACAAACTTGCAGGCTATCGAATGTAGCCTGCCCACAGGGCAGAGTCTGGCAAACTCCCCGTGGCATACCAAATATGCCAAATACCAGTAACAATGATGGGTCTCATTCTCCTAAAGAGCCTTGAATATAATCTCAGGGCTAGGATGAAAGAGACGTTACTGGGGCCTGCTCGAGGCAATCGACGAATAACGAATCGAAACTGAGATGAAGGTGGGTAGCTTACAATGGCACTGTCCTGGGTTTACTTCTGGTTCTGGACTGAGGGGTCAGAGTTGGTGGGGTTCAGGGAGTCATATGGGCTACTTGAGTTGGCCTAAGAGCCGGAGTTGACCTGAATCAGTGGCATACAAAACAACTGCCTTACCTGCTGCAATGTCTTTCTAGCCCCCCAATAAAGAATTTTACACATGCATTTATTTATTTATTTATTTATTTATTTTGCTTTTTGGGTCACACCTGGCGATGCACAGGGGCTACTCCTGGCTCTGCACTCAGGAATTACCCATGGCGGTGCTCAGGGGACCATATGGGATGCTGGGAAATGAACACGGGTCAGTTGTATGCAAGGCAAATGCTCTACCCACTGAGCTATTGCTCTAGCCCCACATTTATTTATTTTAAGACAAAATACTAAGGTCTTCTTTATAAGATGTTTTTCCAGTTCCAGTTTGGAAGTTCCAATTCCTGATTCCACTCAAAGGCTTTATATGAGGACAATGACAGTAACTGTATAACCTTTCACTTTGAATCATAATTCCTTGTCTTTCACTTAATATTTCATTTAAAATCTTTTTTTTTATATCACATAAAACTCAACTAGACTTTTGTTTATAGCTGTTTGACCTGCAGAGTCAGGATTATGGAAAGGCATCAAGGAGTCCTGACTGCAGGCTTAAGTGACTGGTGACAAGGGATGGGCAAGATATTTCCTCTGTTGTGAATTTTTGCAGACGTCAACAATGACTGAGATTTTTCTGCACTGTTCCCCAAGAGGGCTATAGGCAATTACCATCACCAAGCTATGTTTGGCAAGTGACAGAAGTAATTTTGATGTTCAGGCCAATAAGGCAAAAAAGAGATATTTCACAAATCTGGGGCTCAGCCCGACCTCACTGAACCAGTTTTTTACTCCATACAATAATCAAAATAAACAACATTTACTTGGTCTGTATTCTGCACAAGCCTGTGAGAAGTAGTAATGACGGTGACAGCAGGCCAAGAGTTAGAGACTTGTTGGCCATCACTCTTTGTTTTCCATTAGTGACATGATAAACATTTCATTTGCCAAGGCAAAGATATCAGACAGAATTGGCTAGAAGCACACTGAACCCAGTTAACTTCTGGATGCACCATGAGGTAGAACGGTAACACACAGAGCAAGCTGCAGGAGTCCCACACTGATATTCCAGTAAATCTTGTGTGGCTCTGATGCCAGGCTCCCGCCAGGCTCGCAGTCATATTTTGTAGTCCCCTGGCTGCTCATTTCTTCCAGTCTGGTACCTCACATGCCCAATAAATTCTTCCTTTTCCTCCAGAGTTACTATAGCCACTGGTTCTAAGTAAATGTTATAGTGGTGATCTCAGAACACTGGTTTAAGAATCTTGCTTTAGTCTTCAAAATTATAGAGGCTTCTAAAGATCACTGTGGGTTTTCATCCAACCAGTGTTTACTGTGCCAGAAATTGAAACTGAGAAATGAAAATATTTCTTAACGAAACTATCTTAAAGTAACAGTAATAAAGCCATTATGAGCAAAAAGTCTTTTAATGCAAAACAGCATTTCCAAAATAAGGAAAAGAACTATTGAGGTTAACATTGTAAATTTTGTCCATCTAATTTTGACTTAAGATATCTGAGACCTCACATTAGCTATATGCCACACTGTTTTGTCTTGTGAGTGAAAAGGAAAGCTGAAAGCTGGCATCCCTCAAATTGGGAGTTGGAAAAGGGAAAGAGAATTTGAATAGCTTTTCAAATAATTGTGAATATTTTTTCTTGATACTTTATAAAACTGTCAAGTGGCAACTTCTTAAAGTGCACTACACTGTTGAATTTAAAAGTATAATGGAATAACATTTTTATTTGATTACATTTCACTCCATTTATATAATCAGTACCTTTAATGGATTTTTTACCCAAATATGATTCTGTAACAGTATTGAGCCATCTGAAAAGTACTGGTTCCCTGATCCCTGATGCTTTTCCAAATGTTGCACATTTCATTATACAATAGAAACAACTGCATTAATTGGGTTGCCATTTATTTTATCCAAAGGTTTTCAGAGACTGGAAAGCTGTCAGATACATATTGATGAATATTTTCCTAAATTCTAATTTTTATTTGAAAGGGCATTATTTACCACTGGCAACAAACACAGTTATTTTTCTTGAAGTAATACTCTCATTTTTGAGAAAACATCTGCAAAGCATGAAAGTCTACATAACTAAAAGGTTTTGGTTATTATTATCATTTTGGGGGGGCTTTTGGGTCACATCCAGTGATGCACAGGGGTTACTCTGGGCTCATGCACTTAGGAATTACTCCTGGCAGTGCTTGGAGGACCATATGGGAAGCTGAGAATCAAACCCGGGTCAGCCATGTGCAAGGCAAATTCTCTGCCTGCTGTGCTATCGTTCCAGCCCCCCCCCTTTTTTTGGTTATTATTTTAAGTGAAGATAGTGTCCTATGAATGTATACTTCAACATAGCACAGTTTAGAATGAGTTCTCAAGTCAAACAAATTCTGGTATGCACAGAAGTGTTTTTGTGTACATCTACTTTTGCCATTCAGATTAGAAAATATGCATCTATTCAAGGGTAGTTGGCTAATAAAATTAATAGTTGACTGACTTATTAACAGTATTTTAAAGTAACATCAATGTTTTGCCTATTGTTTGGGAAGACACCCCCAGTGATGCTCAGGGATTACTCCTGGCTCAGCACTCAGAAATTACTCCTAGCAGTTCTATAGGGACCATATGGAATATTGGAGATTGAACCTGGATTGGCTGCATGCAGGGCAAGTGTTCTACCTACTGTACTATCTCTCCAGCCCCCAAATTGATATTTTCTTGAATCGAAGTTCCAGCAGTTTTAATCACTATTTTAACCATCATTTATACCTATTGTGCTTTAGTATTAGTTGGCATTAGTAACTATCAGCACAACTGAAATGATGAGAAATGTCTTAGTATTATTATGAAAGTGTTTTTGACCTCATGTAAAATAAGAACTCCCAAAGGCTGGAGGCAGGAGTGATAGTACAGTGGGCAGGGCGTTTGCCTTGTATGTTGCTGACTCTGGTTTTATTTCCAGCATCCCATATGGTCCCCTGAGCACTGCCAGGAGTAATTCCTGAGTGCAAAGCCAGGAGCAACCCCTGTGAATTACTGGGTATGACCCAAAAAGAAAAAAAAAGAACTCCCAAAGACCTAAAGAATTTCTGCATTGGGACTGGATAGAGAGAAAAGTGGGTGAGGTGCTTGCCTTGCATGTGGCTGACCTGGGTTCAATCCTGCACACCCCATATGGTTTCCTTTGCCCTGAAAGGAATGATCCCTGAGCATAGGACCAGGAGTAAGCCCTGAGAACTGACAGGTATGCCTCCTCCCAAAATATTTACTGTATTACAGACAGGATTTCAGAAAAAGTGAGGATTCAGTCACCATGGAGACATGGAGACAAAGGAGGGTATTGTGAGTTTCTTAAGAATAACACATAGTGGAGATCTAAGAAGTGTTATTATTCGATGAAGCGTTAAGTTATTGGCTGAAAGAGAACCTATTGAAAGAGATGAAATATAGATAAAATATTGATTAAGAAGTGAATAAGATAGAGAAGGAGTTGGAAAAAGTTTGTCAGTAAGAAAGAAAGAGCTGGGATGTGAACTACATGGAAACTCAGGATCAAGACTCCTCACCATTATGAAGGAAACACTTATTGGTTGAACATATAAAACTGCGGGAGAGAGAAAAGACAGAAAATGATGGATAAGAATAATGAATAATTAAGACAAGAATAAGGGCTTTATAAAGAGTTGTTGGTATTTATCTGTATGAGAGAAGAAGTGGTTAGGTAAGGATGAACATGTTTGGAAATAGAAAAAGTAATACCAGAGTTGGCTCCTTTAGTCTCAGGGATGAAGAAGGGGAGGATATTTTCTTCAGAGTCTTGAAGATAAAAGGTGGCTGAGGATTTGA